TTACATTTTTTCTTGTTTCGTGACGCCAAGGGTCTCTTTAGTAAAATCTTGTTACAGTTTATTCGTAAACTAGCAGTATAAATGAAAATACAAAATTGCAGCACATTGGAAAATTTAATAACGGTCAACATCATCTTTAACTGAAGTAACGGTCTACTATGTAACTGCGAAGATCGTTTCTGCTCACCGAATCTGGAACATCCGGCTCTAACGAGCCGGCTTCGGGATATTGCGGTGTTGTTGATTCACTTTCAGTGAAGCTCGGCTCCCTCATTTGAATAGCAAAATTTCTCAAGCAGCAACATGCTATTATAATTCTTGCGCTTCTTGTAGGTTTATGTCTGTATGGAAGATTTTTACTATTGTCTTAGATTTCAAAGATTTACCTTAGTTCATTGTGAAGGGCTTGAAATTGGCGTTTTAGAGATCCAAACGCATTTTCAATTATTACGCGTCCTCTACACTGTGCGTCAGTATACCGAGCTTCTTAAGTAGTACACATGAGTTTATTATCATAATAACCATACCACATCCTATACCTGCTGCTGTTCTTTGTTCGTTTAGAATTGGTTTAAGAAGAAAACGCTCGGAGCGATAGGCGCTATCTGCTAGTAAAATTCCTTTTTTTCGTCCTTCCAAAAAATCCATGTAAATTTTACTAGATCGAAACACCTTAAAATGACAGATGTGTAGTACATTTATTTCTCAAAACTTTCAAATTACCCTCGAGTCGTGAGTTCTCCCAGGGAATTTTGCGCTGATCCACAGAAATTTTTGGTCCAAGTCACATATACCGGCCATGTTTATACTATGATAGTCTTTTCTAGATTTCTTTTTATAACAATGGCCAAAAATATAAATACTGCTTATACTCTTACCTATTCACGTAACAATCTTCGCTTTCACTAGGAGCAATTATTTTGATATGTGACCCATCAAGCGCTCCCACAACATTAGGAATGCCGCATATTTCGAAAAATCTAAATTATTCGATTTTTACAGGGTAGGAGATTATTGATGCAAACCTTCTCTCCATTTTCTTTTGCTCCGAATTATCTGGCCAGAAAATAAAAGATTTTCGTTTCCGATACAATACATCAGAGACTTCAGCGATGATACGTGAAACACTGGGCTGAGAACAGCCCAGAGTGAGAGCTGTTGTTCTCTAAAAACGCTTATACACTCGTTTGTCGTCTGCATGATACCTGCTACCTGCAAACTGGCGCTGCCCAGATGTTCTAAAAAAATGGCCTGTTTATGAGCACCGCAGATAGACGCACTTCTTGTGGTGGGAGGAGAAAGTTCTTCTTTCAAAATTGAATAGAGGGCATAAAATCCTCTTCGCGTTAAACGGAATCTTTCTCGAAATTCCGCATCGTTCAAAATCTCCAGCGGATCTGTTCTGACCCGGAATGTCCGTGGTATTGCCAAATGTATTAAATACTCTCGTGATTCCCTTTCATCATCTTCCATCTAAAATAAAGTATCAACCGGAGATTCCCAAAAGATAACACGTAAAAACTGTCTCGAATGTTTTTCTTGCTGACTCGATTAGTAGCGAAAGTGCATTTCAAAATTTACTTTTAGAAAACTGATTCAAATTTTAGACTTTTGAATTAAATTCCAAATTAATAGGGCAGTTGCATACTATTGTAATTTTGTAACAACTTTCAACAATTTTGAGAGCAGTTTGGGGAAGAGGGCCCTCATCCCTGGTCCCTTGTCTTGGAATCTCAAGCTGCTTCGAAAAAATTCTCACAATCAGGAAGGGAAAATTGAGTGCGAGT